CACCCCCCCGGCTGCCGTCCCCCCCCTCCACTCACGGCAGTAGAGCTCGTCCTCGCCCTGGGGACAGTCAGTGACACCGTCGCAGACCCTGGACACGTTGAGGCACACGCTGCCATCGGCACAGGCAAAGTGTCCCGGGCAGGGGGGGACGGCGGTGGAACCTGCAGGGGAGCGACAGGGCAGCGTTGGGGGGACACACACCCCCCAGAGCATCCCAGCGTGACACCAGGGGGACCTCACTGAGAGCATCCCACCAGGATGGGTGTCACCAGGGGAACCCCCAAGAGCATCCCACCAGGATGGGTGTCACCAGGGAAGGGGACACCAGGGGAAGCCTGGAACGCATCCCACTGGGGAGGGGGACACCAAAGAGACCTCCTTGAGAGCATCCCACCATGACAGGTGTCACTGGTGAGGGGGACACCGAGGGGAACCTCCAAGAGCATCCCACTGTGATGGGTGTCACTGGGGATGGGATCACTGGGGGCAACACATCCCACTGCCCCAGATGTCACTGAGGAGGGGGACACCCAGTGGACCTCCCAAGAGCATCCCACCGTGATGGGTGCCACGAGGAAGAGGACACCAGGGGAAGCCCTGAGAGCATCCCACTGGGGAGGGGGACACCAGGGGAACCCCCAAGAGCATCCCACCAGGATGGATGTCACTGGGGAGGGGGAGACTGGTGGGAACCCCCAAGAGGATCCCACCACGATGGGTATCACCAGGAAAGGGGACACCAAGAGAACCCCAGAGAGTGTCCCACCACGCCAGGTGCCACCAGGGAGGGGGACGCCGTTGGGGACAACCTAAGAGCATCCCCCGGCACCGGTGGGGACTCACCGCAGTGGTCGTTGCTCTCGTCGGAGTGGTCGCGGCAGTGGGGGACGCCGTCGCAGAGGTGGCCGTAGGGGACGCAGCCGGTGCCGCGGGCGCAGGGGAAGTGGCCGGGGGGGCAACCGTCCCCACAGCCCAGCTCGTCGCTGCCATCGGGGCAGTCGGCCTCGCCGTCGCAGAGCCAGCCCCGCGGCACGCACTCCCCGCTCCCGCAAGCCACGGCGGAGGGGTGGCACCCCGGTGCTGGGGGGGGACAACAACAGGTCACCGCGGGGGTCCCCATCGCAGCCGGGCTGTGGGTCAGGGCTGCGCGGGGGCCACGGGGCCGGCACCCCCTCACCTGCCGAGGCGT